AGATCAAAAATGTGTTTTCTTATTTGAGTGAAAATTGTTGAAACGACAGGTGTTAGCTGCATATGGGCAGAGAAGAGAAGTACGTATTACCTGTGCAGGTGTGGTCATGAAAAATATTCCACTTCGTTTCCCTTCCCGTAATCGTAGAAATAACTTCGTCGAGCACCTTCATCGAATTTTATATTCCGTGCTTGGAATAAACGATATCGTCGCTTCACATCGTTGTCGTGGTCGTTGTCGTTCGGTAGCAACGACGCTTTTCAAATGATTTCGAAATGATCTCATACCATTCCTATACACACTTTTACCTGTCATTATATTCTCTTTTACCGTTTTCTTTTTCTTATTCCTTTTTCTTTCATTCCAATAAAACGTGTAAAAAGAAATAAAAAGAGGTTATGTTACATGTTAAATCATTTGGAAATTAATTATCTTTTATATAATTTTATTTTTATATTACAATACAAATTATACATCTTCTCAAATGATCTAAAATGAAAAACAAAAACATTAAATTTTTAATGCATAATCAATTTTTCAATATATATATATATAATTGTAATCCAATAATTAATTTAATTAATTTAATTATATTCGAATGTTAATTCAACAAAGTAAATGAGTTAAAAATAGTTATAGAAAAAACCGATAATCGTTAAGAAAATTGAATTAAATCGAAATTTGTATTAATACCGATTCATATGAAGAACCTACCTTACCGACATCGATAGAAACCACAGGAAAAGATCAGAGATCAAAATTGATACTCAGCGAATCATTGGACTCAAATGCTTATATTAGAATATTCAAATGAATAAGTAGTGTCAAGTGAACACTTTAAGATCACCATTGAAACGGAACTAAACAATCAGTAGAATAAATTACAAGTAACGGTACATACACTGAGATTACACTTTTCCTGATGTTACTACTGCTGCTACTGCTGCTGATGCTGATGCTGCTGATGCTATTCCTGCAAAGTTAGAGAGAACTGTTATTTCGTCACGAGCAATTTCTCATGATCTTTCCTTTCTTTTTCTTTTATTTTTTGTCTATTTTCTTGACTTATATCTCACGAATTCGTCCGCTTTTGAATTCGTTTGCTAATATTATAGCCCGAAAGCATTCAAGAGAACACACAAGACACGTTGGATTGGAGTATATTACACGGAACTAATTATACCATTTACTTACATCCTCTTCATCTTATCCAATACTACATATACATATATATCCTCACATATATACAAAAGAATATTTACCCTTTCTCCTTTTCTTTCTCACACACTAATAGTACATACTCTTCATCCTGTCCACCATACGTTTACATTTCATCACATATTCTAACACAATTACACTACAATATATAATCTTTCTCTCTCTCTCTCTCTCTCTCTCTCTCTCTCTCTCTCTCTCTCTCTTACCGATAGTATTTCCTCTTAATCCGATCAACAATACATGTATATAGTATATGCATGAATTGAAAGTTGTAGGATGTTCGTAGGGTATTTTCGAAAAGTTCGTAGGGTATTTCCGAAAAGTTCCGTTCGAATTTTTAAACACGGAAATTTTATGAGAAAGTTCAAACAAACTTACGAAAATTGAGCTTTCATTACCTTTTTTTCATAAATTCATTGCATACATTGTTTTTTGTAGGATTTTTTATTTGCTTTAAGTTATGTTATATATATATATCTTTTTTCTCTCTTGCTAATAGTTCTTCCTCTTTCTCCTATTCCCCATACATATATATATTGTTACACATAGGAACATACATTCTCTATTTTTTTTGTCTTTCCATTAGTAGTACACTCTTTTCTTCCTATCTACCATACATAAATATCCTTACACACATAAAGATATGTACTCTTTCTCTCGCATGTAATACATCCTTTTCATCCTATCCACCATACATATACATCGTATATCCTTACATACACATACTAAAATATACACTCATCATTTCTCTTTTACTAATAGTTTCCTCTTCATTCTATTCACTATACACATACACCCATATACAAGAAAACGTATATACCATTTCTTCCACTGATATCAAAATACTGTAATTCCATTAAAAAATCCTTAAAACTCGTAGAACCGATGAAGCAAAATAGTCGATTAAACTCGTCAATCCTTTGGGAAAAGGAAATTTCGTAATCATTTAAATTCTTGGAAAAATATACATATATCGAAGGAAACGATAAAGGTAACGTAATTTAATTACATTCGGAATGCAACTACTACTACTACACATATATATTATATATACGTAGAATATAAGTGACACTTATCACGATAATTCTAAATGTACATATAATAAACACACACATACACATAGACTGACGTTAAATGTATCCGTTCCGTTGCATTGGATCTCATTTCTTACTTTAATCTGCTTCTTTTTTTTATTTGTTTAATCTGTTTTTTTTTCTCATTCTTGGAGAGTTTTCTTATCGATCTACTCCCTCTCCCTCTCTCTCTCTCTTTCTTTTCTCCTGTAAAGAGACATAGATCGGCATCGGCGACTGTCAGTCGTGGTTTTCTATCTATCGTCGATCCTTTCTCGAGAAAAGAACTTCTCTCTCGAGCGTGCAACGGACCGTACCGGTCAGACCGGACGACCACTTACTTACTTACTTACGTATATACTTATATATACTTATACTATACTTATATTCTCTTTCTTTTTCTCTTTCTTTCTATCTCGAAGAAGAAGAAGACGACAACGACGACAACGAGCCACGTACTCGTCGCAAACCCAACGATCCTTCTCTCGGGTTTTACTCCTTCCGTCCTTTATTCGTCCACTTCTTCTTTTTCTTCTTCTTCTCCTTTCTTCGATTCGATCAGAGATTCTCTATGGAACTTACTTTTTTTTTTATAAATATCTTAACTATCTCTATCCCCATTTATCTATTTATTTATCTTTATCTATTTCTCATTCTTTCTTTCTTTCTTTCTTTCTTTTTTTGTTTCTTTCCATTTAGATCTTTCGTGTTGGCTTTTACGTTAATAATGAAATTTCTTACCTTTCTTGTTCGCTTTCTTTTCATAAGGAAAGAATTCTCTTGACCACTCTCTTAATATCTATTTCTATCTTTACCTTTCTATTATATCTTTATGTTTAAATCATTTTTATTTATCTACTTTATTTTCATTAATTTTAGCTCGGTTTTTTTTCTGAATTTATTAGTTTAATTTTTATATTCGTTCGGTAATAGTGTGAATTTTTATATCAAATTAATGTGGCATTTTTATTAAACATTTTCTTTTCTTTTTTTTATTATTATCACTGGAAAATTATACAACTTTTTACTTTCTATTTTTACTTTAATTATTTTTTCAAATTTTATTTTTATTTTAAATAAATATAGTATAGAATACAATATAATAAAAAAACTATAGTATAGTAATACAAATTATACAAGTAATACAAATATTATTTTTATTATAAGTTAATATAGCATAATAATATAAGTTAATAAATGCAATATTCGTAACAAAAAATAAATTATTTATTTATGAAATAAATATTGTATTTGATTTATATTTCAAAAAGTTCAAACAAGTTTAAAGATAAATATATTTTTATTTAGAACACATTTAGTATCTTCGTTCGTTCATTTTATAAAATTTTCGAAATTTTTCTATTCCCATTTTGTCGTAGATGAAAACGACGATTCTCAGTAACACCATAAATTCTATTACGATTTCTCCTATAGGAAACGAATTTATAAATTACAATCTCAGTTTTGTGCGTCGTTCACTTTCCCTGAAACACATTCGTTTATTTCTTTACTCCTCTTTCTCTTCCTTATCTTATAATATTTTCTTCCTCTTCGATGGTTATACGAACGAACGTTCCTTCTATCATCTTATTCTTGGTATTTTCAACTTCGCGTACTCTCAATAACGTCCTTTTCTCATTCTCTTCCCTTTCTTGGAAGAACATAAATGTGTTTTCGTAGTAGTAGTGGTGGTAATCTTTGACGAGAGACGATTTGCGGAAGAGACTTGACGATCGGCTTCTACGAGATAAGAAAAAAGAATAAAGTAAAAGGAAAAGATAAAGAGACAGATAGATAGATCGATAGAAAATAGACAAAAAAAAATAGAAAATAAAAAGAAAACCACTGAAATCTTCCCTTTCATGCCGTTAAAGGGAAATTCAGACGATCGATCAATCGATCTATGGATCAAACGATCGATAGATCGATCTTTCGTCCCTACGATCGATGCAAGAATCGAGTGAGACGAGAATCTTAGCTTTGCTTTCTCGTAACTATCGATATATCGATTTCTAAGAGTTGACGAGTTGTTGTTGGCTTTTCTTGTAATTCAAACTGGAAAAGAATAATAATAATGATAATAAAAAATGAACAATCCAACGTCTCTTATTTTCTCTAACTCTGTGTCTATGTCTCGATAATATTAAGAAAGACATAGGAAGATATTGTTCCTTGCATCTAGCAAATGATCCTTCTACCGGGTTCAAGGTCAGGACCAAGAAACGAGAGGCACCTAAGTATGCTTGGTATAATGATCGATTAGTCCTTCCTCTATCAATTTTTTTCTTATCTTGAAACTTCTTTGCTAGAGAATGAGTATCGTTGAGGTCGAGATCAGGATATTAATTATTACTATGATTAAACTATACTAGAGAAATTTTCAACGAAGTCATATCATAATGATGATAATGAAGATAATTCATTTGTCATAATTATTTGTACAACAATTGTTAAAAAATTATTATTTTATTATAATTCTTTTTATTTCGTACAAATTGATATGTTCGTTCAAAAAATACTGTTAATTTATTATTATTTAATTATGCATACCTATAGTTTATATTAATTTAAATTAACTATCCTAAATATAAGCTTATACCAAATATTAATATTCTAAATAAAAATAATTTATTATTATTATTATTATTATTATTATTATTAAATGAAAAGAGAAAATATTTTGAAACAAAAATTGTGGTATATTTTTAGAACTACGATACTTTGAGTAAAAACAAGAAATCGTGGAGCGTGAGATTGGGTCTCTCTCGTCAAAATCAAAATCCAGATGACCCTGGTAAGGGTTGGGGTACGATAAGCAACGGTAGCGCGCTGTCCCGTCAAATGATCTACGGCGACCCATGGCTTTATGGGACGGTTCGATCGTCGAGGCCTGGTCACGATCCTCGAGCCTTTCTGACACCGGCACCCCCACCACCACCTGGAGCACCGCTTCTCGTGGTATGTTCCTGCCCGGAGTTCCTTTGCGGAACGACCAGGAAGCTCGGAAGCAATTGCCGCAAGTGCGGTGGTCACCGATTGGCTGGTGTACCTTTAGGAGGAACTTGCCGATTACCAGCACCATCATCGAGGTCCAGGCCCAGTCTTGCAGGTAACATTCAATTCGAGAAACTTTAATTTTTTATTATCCTTTAAGTAAATAAGAATACACACACTTACCTTTCACGGTTAAGTAAATCGAAAGAGAGAAAGTTTGTTAATCAAGTTCCTTACATAAAAAAATATCTTGATTTTTTTTTTATGGTCACGTAGGCGTAATGAGAGAACCAGTTTCATGTTGTGTTAGATTTGATATCAATCCACCCTATTACGAAATCTTATAAATAATCAGAGATGTTTGGAACATACGATATCATACGACACGATACAAATACGATACAATGATGATATACTATTAGGTGTACTGAGACCAGCAATGGACGACCCATACGATCAGATGAGAAGGAACAGACTAGTGGAACCAAGATCCCGAGCACGGAGTACCTCACCACACAGACCATCGTCCCAACGAGATTCCCGAAGCCAAAGTGTACTGGCGGGAAGGAACACGAAGGAACGAAAAGGTTCGATCGAGGGTACTACTTCGAGATCCGAGTGGTTCGACAAGGAAGGTACGGTGCATCCTCATCAATCACATCATCATCATCTTCATCATCATCATCAACAACAACAACAACAACAACAGCAACAACAGCAACAACACGACAGCAAGTCACGACAGAACTTCATTGGTACATCGAACGACCACCATTGGTTGGAGGAAAATCAAACGGAGAATGTTGTTTTGAGGAATGGAGGAATCGTCGAACGACCCAATCAAAAATCGATACCCCGTACCTCGAAAAGAACGAACACGATTCAGAGAAACAAGGATAATCAGGATTGTTCGGTATCAACAAAAATCTCATCGTCGTCGTCGTCGACAGTTGTGGAAACTTCATTGGCAAGAACAAAAACTTCTAACTCGAATAACAACGGTCAAGAAAATATCGGAGATTCGAGAAGAAGTATTTTAGAGTGCGACGTTAATCCTTATCTATTGTTGAAGAAACAAAAATACGAGGACGATTTAAGCGACGATCTGTCGGACAATGCCTTGGAACAGGACGTTGACTCTAGGACACCTTCGAATTCGTTTGACCCCTCCAAAGTGAAATCGATCGAAAGGATACCAAATAGGGGGGCAGCTGTAGCAGCTATTGGTGGTCAAAGAATTCGTGTATTCAACGAACCGAGAGAAATATCTGACGATGAAGAAAATACACCGGTCACGAGGATACCAATACCCAAGGTCTCTCCTAAAAGACCACCAAGAAAATTGAAGGAAGCCAAGCAGACCCTGAAAAGTATTTTAAAGAGAGGTCGAGTACTCGAGAGTAAAAGGAAGAACGTATTGTTCAAGGTCGATAACGTAATATTCGCACCGGAAAAACCATCCGAGGCCACTAGACTTTCTTGGAGTAGAATCGGTAGGTTCGCTAACTGTACGAAGGACACGCGTAAAGAGGAATCCGAGGAGGATTACGAGGAAGAGGAAAGGCCAATGATTGTGGTAGAGGAAGAGGAAGAAGAAGAGGAACCTATTGTACCGAGAGAACAACAAGAGAAACATAAATTCATCACCATTCCTAATATCAGTGATCCCAAAGCTGACAGAAGTAAAAATAAAGATACGAAAATAATACCTCAAGTGAAAAACGTTCTTGCATACACCAATTCATCGAAGATCGATACTCCCATAGTTGGTTCTAAACCGATCGATAATGTTGAGTTGCGTAAAAAGAATCCAGAAATCGAAACGATCAAATCAAACGAAAATCTCATATCTGCGAACAAATACGAAAGATCTAAAGAAGATCAGAAATCCTCAAAAAGAGATAATGATCATATCAAGTTGGAAGATGAAACGGAATTGGAGATCGAAATTGAAGAATTGAACGATAGGCTTCCGTGTATTGCAGTTGATGAGAAGGATCTGATTCTGAGGTCGGAAGGTAAGATTATAACTAATTATTTCACGTAATATTAATTATGGGCTAAACATTTTTTTCTGGGTAAATTTTTTAGACTAATTAATATTTCCAGATTATAAAATTATAATTTTTAGAATTATTGGTTTCTTACCTAATGCTAATTATTTAATTATTTTTTATTAGACTAATTATTTTGTTCAAGTATTCAAATAAGAATCTTAAGAACTTTTGATTCACCCTGTAATTTTGTTTGTTTTTTCTTTTTACTCATACTCGGAATATCATATTCTAATCATCCCGATTAATACAATATAATAACATCAAGAACTTATAATTAGACTTATCGGAAATATCCTTGAACTTTAGCAATAGTTACATATATCTTTCAAGGATAACGAGAGTAAGTTAGTTCCTTGGTAAGTTTCTTTCATACTCCGTAAGAGTTTCTTATCACGAATCCATAAAGTCAATCGGGATGGGTAGTCCTTGTTGTCTTACATTACTCGTTACGAAGTGACTGTTTTAAGTTCACTCGCTTGTTCCATTCTCGTTCGATCTTATCTAAATATTTCCTTTTTACTAGACCGAATGAACAGAAATTGTACATTTTTATTATAATTCACTGTACACGTGAGTGTAATCATTGATAAAGATAAACAAGAGTATTTACTATAAATTTTCATTCTCTAGCTACATGTAGGAAGTGTTCATTACTCGACCATTAAGATGACATTTTTTTTTCAAGTTCAATATTTATCAATAAATTACAATATAGAAAGCCACAAGTTTGCTAAGTGGTTTTAAAAATTAATTATTTATATTTGTTGAAATTTTCTGTGAATTAACATTTGTTCAAATTATAAAATTAAAATTACAATTTTTGATTTCAAACCTAGAAAGTTAAAAGAATGTATTTGATTTTGAAACATCCGTTGGGATAAATAAAAATCTTTGGTTTCTCGATAAGATTATCAAAAAGGAGTGGCCAATGTTTCGCATAAAATTCCATCGGGAGAACCACTGTGTCCTTAATGACAACTTTCAGCGACAAGAGGAGAAAGGTTAGCCGATCCTGCCGACCCTGAGCTTTATCCTCAGGCATACATATTCTATATAGTTGTATCACTCCTAAAAGAGATTCGAGAGATTCGATTTCAGAGTCGTTGAAAGTGGATAAGGTCAGGGCTGGCCAGTGTCGAGCCAACGAATCATCGATCTGGATTACCCATTTTGGTTATTGACGCAAATAACATTGCTCATGATATCATTTTAACTCGTTACTCTCATTTTTTCTATTTTTTTTTTTTACCATTAAAAATAAAATCAACAAATTTATCATTTTTCAACATAAATATATTTTAAATAAATATTTAATTAAATTAATAAAATAACAATTATGAAATATTACAATTTCAATTTAAAAATAAAACCAAGCAAAAATAATTAATAAATGTTTTGATGGTCGGCCATATTGTTTTAGAACATTCTTTCAAATCCCATAGAATACGTATTGTATGTTTTTAATATAATAAAAAATGTAGAAGAGTAAATTTTGAGATAGAAAGGTTGAAATTCCATGGCAAATGTATCCGAAAGGAGAGAAAGAAAGGATACCGGCCGGCGTGATTCGATTTGCGAAAGTGGACGCGTGGGAAAGATACGAAAGAGATCGGTACAATGCGAACAGCGGTCGTCCACCTTATATGGAAGGACGTGTACATATTTATCGGTGGGCACGTTCATCCTTCGTCCGTATCGTAAATGTCTTCGTGTCACGGGATCCCAGAAGAGTAGGAGGAATAGTTACATACTAATTTCACCACTGTATTCGAGGACCCTTACTCGATTCAATTCGATTTTATTCGATTCGATTCAATTCGCCAAAGGGTACCCTTCGATTTATTATTTTTTTTATTTTTATTTATAATATAATTTTTGTTGTTGTTTAATTTTAATTTATTTTTATCTTTTTCTTTTTTCGTTTTGTTTTCTTCTATCATATTTTTCTTCTTTTTATCTATTTTATCTATTTTATCTATTTTATCTGTTTTATCTCTTGTCATTCTAACAATACCAACACCGTACTCTTCGACATAAAGAAACGAAGTGGAAAACATTTCTGTTTGCGGTGAACACGCGTCGTAATAAATTCGGACGAAGGGCGTCATAATGTTTGAAACGAGTTCCGACGATCAACAGACGCTACCATGTGCCAACGCCATCTTGGTACCATCGTAAAAACTTAGCGGTATAATCGGACCACGGCCATATACATTGGCGTACAATAAAATTAGATTTCAAACAAAGACTCCTCTCCTTTCACTTTTGACTTTCAAATAAATTCACTAGGAAAAATAAACCAAAATTGAAATAAGCAGGGTACACTTTTTATTATTATAATTTTATTTTAAAAAATGGACATCAAATTCTTCTGTTTTTTATTTTCTTTTTTTTCTATATTATTCAAATCCCACTTTTAAATTTTATTTCATTTTTTTTTTTTTTTGAATAAAAATTTACACAAAATAAATAATAAAGAAATGTACTCTACTTGTTAGAATTCACACATTCGCCATTTTGGTTTATCATTACAATCGCGAAAATTGCTATACAAATGCAAAATGTAGACAAATTCGGGCTTAATATTACGTCAATTATGTTCCATATCTCTCTTTGAATAGTGTGAATTACTTTTTGAAACATAATTCTATTACACTATTACATACTGTGTACTAATCCAGTAATATCGGTGACATTATATTCACTCATGTTCCTCAGCACTCAACCACTAATTTTCTAACATAAGATCTCATTATATATATCGTGTTATAATGCAAAGCGTTAAAGAAACTTTATATAATAACTTCTCATTGGTTTAACTCGTTCAACTCTAATAGAAAATTTCTTGTATTAATCCATACATGGATATCATATTTGATAAATCAAAAAATGTACGAAAAAGAAACAAAATGACGTTTGTCTCTCATCAACGTGTTTTTTTTCTGTTCTACAAAAATTATTAGATAATATTCCTGAATATATAAAATGACCATCATAAAAGTGAATGTAATAATTTCTTTTGTATTTCTAATTTCTTTTTCTTTTTATTACATATTTTATTTTTTTTAAACAAAAAAAAATATTCTTTTTCCACATTTTTTGCTTAATAGTATTTTGTGAATAATTATTTACAAAAAATAAGAAAGGAAGATTGTGTAAAGTTAAGTAATAATTGTACGCGTAATTTGTTTGAAAAATAAAAATAAAAATCGGCAATTATATTTATCGATCGATTAGCGAGTAAATCAAGCAACCTCGTGGAATCCTCTTTAAAAAGTAGAGCAAATGTTGGAAAAACCGTAGCAATTTTCCAACCAGTGAGATTTCATGCAAGCTAAATACAGCGATGAATTCTCTTTGTCGGTGTACATACTTTCACCGATCACTTATACGCATACGCACACGCAACATACACACGTATATACATATATGTATGTACGTTCGAGAGATCGAGAAGAAAAGGGATTGGCTTTAAGATAAGATCAATATTCTGACTCGAACGTATAACCTATATTTTCTCTCTCTCTCTCTCTCTCTCTCTCTCTTTCTCTCCCTCTCTCTTTCTTTCATCCTTTCTTTCTCGCCATTTTCTTTTTTTTTCATCTCATTATCGTGAAGATCGCTTTCCTCTATTTATCTCATATCAAGAGTGAACAATTATCGCACTGAAATTATACGATAGCATCTTTGACGCTTGTATTTTTTAATTTAAATAAAAACAAAAAATATTAACAAATAAACAATTATTCTTTAAAAATCATTTTGTCATTCGTATAGGAATCCTTTAGAATTCTGATCAAGACCGTGAATCCGTTCTTTTTTTTTTTCGTCAAAACTTCTCGGATTTCATCGTGCGGTTTTATTTCCGTGAAAAAGAACAAAAAAACTTGCGCATAACCGAAATCTGAGAAATCGTGAGAATATTGCGGGGTGGGTAGTATCTTTTTGTTGGGTTTAAATATCACTTCCTTGCAATAGGTCAATGATTTTTGTTGATCAAATAATTCGGATTCATCAAAATTTCAATTAATTCCTGTTCAACGTGTTTTTTTTTTTTTTTTTACAGAAAATTCAAGAAGACCATTCCTTTCACGTAGTCAAAGTGACCGATCGTTCAGCAAACCACAAGTTTCAGCAACCAACGTGTATTTCGCCGATACGATGCGTTTAAGTCTTGGAAAAAAAATCAAAGTATCCTCATCGACATTAGAAACTTTAACAAACGAATTAATCAAAAACACGATGACCGTTAATCAAGATTTGTCAAATAAAAAAGAACCCAACAATATAAATGAAACAATTGCAAATAATTCGGAAATAATTCAGACGAAATCTGAACAAGAAATTACAGATGATCAATTATCAAACAAAACGTTAGAAATAATAGAAAAAGAATTAGATCCAGCTGTATCTACGTCATTGATGAAAGATCAGGAACAAAATCTGATGCAGGAACATTTTCGTGGTATGAAACCAACTAGTTGGTCGCCACCACCTGGTAGACAAAAGCATCGTTTTAAAATCAGTGATTCTGAGATAAACACCGAAGACTATGGTGTTTCAACGATACAGGATCACAGAAGATCGGTATCGTCGGCATCTACTTTATCTTGGAATTCCAGCAGTTCGCACGGATCATCGAAGATAGAAATTGGACCATCTTCATCGAGTGAAAGTAACGTTTGTAAGATCACAGTGAGTCCAATGGCATCTCCATTGGTTCATAGATTACAAATAGGACCTGGAGTACCAACTAAAACGGTTAAGAGAACGTCCATATTGATAAATGGTGATCAAAGTTCTGGTGTTGAGTCTACTCCTGATAACAAAGTCACCATCAGTGTAGGTGGTGAAGACAGTGTTTGCAATCCTACAGTTATATCAGTCAATTCCGAAATCCTTCCAAAGATTCAGAGTACCGTTGAGAATCGTACCTTGGTTATATTAGATAATTATAAATCTAACATTGTTGTTGAATCTATTGCCGATGAGACTAGATCCAAACAGAATAGAATCGAGTGTCCTCATAGAAATGAGGAACGTTCTAGGAACTTGGAAGATACTTTCTCTTTATCATCAAAATCAAATAAACCTGTTAATATTTTAGAAGAGACTAATGTGAACTTGGACAATCAAATTAGAATCTCACCCGATGTGCCACCTAAATGTAACAAATCCGAACAATTGTCACGAGTTAATTCGCAGGAAGAAACGAAGAATCAAAATGAACAAAAATTAAAGGAAACCGAAGATTCTCCAAAATGGTCTGATCTTTCAAAAGAAGTAATGATCTCTAAATTGTTGGAAGGATCTTTGAGAAAAGCTCGTGAAAATGGTGAGATTTTAGATCACGAAAGTGGTGAAGCTATTTTGAAAATTTTAAAACAGAGCTTATTAAAGAGCAAAGAATACGAAAGTTCGGAATCAACTTTGGAAGCTAATTACTCTAGGACTTCTAGTTTGAACTCTGATACCGATTTCGTGTCAACTAATCTTTTTCTCGAAGAGAATCCTTACGAGGTAATCAAGGAACCAATTTACGAAGAAATTCCTGACGAACCACCGCCGTTGCCATTGAGTCCACCACCTTCTGAAGATTTTCTTAAAGATAGGATTTACTTCACTGACGTAGATTATTATAAAAAAGTTGGACCTGGTGAATTCATGGGTTCCTATTTATCGGAGGAAGTTTTCAAAAAGACAAACTCCGATGATCTAGCTGAGTCCTATTTATCCAAAAGTCCTGAAGATTTCTTTAAAAAGATCTCCATTTCACCTGACGAAGAAAATATTTCAACTAAATTTGAATTACTTAATTTCCTCATGGATTCGAAGGATCGTACAACTACTGCTGATGAGGAAGACGAGGAAGAGGATGATGAAGAGGAGGATACTGAAGGAGACCTTGAAGCCCTTTATGAACAAAAGGAAACCAGTCTGGGTGATCTCAGTTCTAAGAGTTCACAAATTTCAAATGTTTCGGATAGCAGTGAAGAATGTAACATTATCTTGACTAGTTTGCCGGAAACTTTGAAGGTAAATATATTGTATTTTTTTTATTCATTTTGAAAAATGAGTTGACAAATTTTAAGCCTCGATAAAAAGAACAAGTTTAATTTTAAATAAAACTGAGTTTGATAAATGAAAAAGCATAAAATTAGAACTAACCCTCTTAATAATATAAATATTATATTAAATTATTATCATCTTCCAAATGTTGATATTATTTATATAAATTAATTTATCAAAACTTACAAAATAATAATAATAACAGTTTTATTCAAATTACATTAACTCGTTATACTTGTTAACTTTATTATATAGTCAAGAACCGTGGACATCGAAAGAACTGATAGCGGAGTTGGGTCAGAAAGTAGTCAAGCTAGTAGTACTCGAGGAGTGGCAAGAAGATGGAGAAGCGGGAACGTTTCGTCCGGACCAGGAAGTTTACTTAGCGGAATACCGCAAGTGATTTCCGGTGATACAAAACTCTGTGAGGATTGTGAACAACGTTTGGATCCTTTAATAACGGACAGGTACTGCTCTAGATATTATCATTCAAAACAATTCAAACAACGTGTAAATATATTCAAATCTTAATATATCATTTCATATCTCAAGATTTAATTTTTGTCACGTTCATTCTCGTTTTAAAAAATTTCAAGATGTAATTTCAACAAGCGTGTTCAACGCAAGAAGAAATTTTATTCATTTTTTTTTTCTTACTGTCAGATAAAATTGTTTAACAAGCTATTAATTCTAACGAGATGCTAATTGTTTTTTTCCACGAATTATTTTTCAGTGATTTTTAAAGCGACTTCTCACTTTTTTCTTGTTATTTTCTTCATTAGAGAGATTAAATCAGATGACATGTAAGATGTAACACGCAGGAACTAATGATTAGAATCGTATTTGAACATTTCAAAGTATTTATACTCTTTTTGCTAATGTTTGCAAGTCAGGTCACGTGACAAACTACTTTCTCCTCTTATTTGTCATTCCTTTTATCGTAAAGAGCGAAAGTGTCCTTATCGAGACGCATGATCCATCGATAAATGGTGTAAATGATCAAGCGAAAGTGATTTTAATTTTGATTATCACGCATATCCACATACTCATGTATGAACATACATGGTCATTTTTATTTTTATCTCTTTGTCGTATAATTGAAGAATTGACATTCTCAAATAAGGAAATTATGAATGATTTATTCGATGTTATTTAATTTTTTATTTGTATTTTTTTCAGTGGAGTAGTTTATGCACCCTTCGTATGCAGGAAGTGTTCTAAAAAAAGAGCTGAACGGAAGGAAATCATTACGGAGATTGTTGAGACTGAACAAAAATATGGCAGGGACTTACAAATTATTCTTGAAGAATTTCATCGTCCTATGTTGAATGCAGGCCTTCTTACATCTGAACAATTGTCAGCCATTTTTCTTAATGTCGAAGAATTATTAGAAGATAATCTTGCTCTAGCTGAAAAATTGAAGGATGCTGTGGAATTTGCTCAGGTGATTTTATTTTTCATTAAAAATGATTTGGAATCTATACAAAAATAAACTTTATATAATTCTAATGCATCATTTTTTGTATTTAAACTGTAATAAAAAAAAAAATCTGAATTTATTAATAATTTTAAATTGAAATGTAAATTCATATTAATCAAATTAGAAATATTAAATTTTACAATTAAATGCATTTAAAAATATGAAGTTACTTATATTTTATTAAAAAATTTGAAAAGTAATTTTTGTCATAGAAAATAGCTTTACGTTTGATAAAATTATGAACAATTAATTAATAATATTTGATTTTTAATATAGGAATCAGGTGACGAAGATCTTCTAACAGTTGACGTTGGTAAAATATTTTTGGAATCGGAACGAATGCTTCACGCTTTCGAAAATTACTGTACTCGACAAGGCAGTGCAAGTTTACTTTTACAAAATTTAGAAAAAGAGAAAGAACTTCTACGAATTTTTCTTAGGGTCTCTCAAATGGAGAACACTGTTCTTCGTAGAATGAATCTTAACTCTTTTCTCATGGTATATTATTTTTCTCTTTTAATCATTATAATTAAATTATAAATTTTATAAACAAGATAAAATTATTTTTAGGTTCCAGTTCAAAGAGTAACGAAATATCCACTTTTGTTAGCACGATTGTTAAAAGCTACGCCATCAGTTCGGCCAGATATTCAAGAGGCAAAAAAAAGACTCAAACAAGCTCAAACTAACATTGAATTGCATTTAGAACACATGAATGCTGTAAGTAATAAATGTTAACATTAAAATTGTCCAAATATTAAAATAACTGATTTCATCATATACCTTACTTTTTCTATAATTATTTTAATAATATAATCAACAAATAAACAAATATTTTTCTACAAATATATTAACAGGAAGCTAAAGATGTTACTTCTACGAAATTATGGAGAAGAATTTCTATCATACAAAATGGTAGACGATCAACCGGTGAGCAAGATGTGGTAAACATCAAATTAAGAAAGGTAAACAAATCAAATTATTATATCCTAAATACTAAGACAAACAAAATTATTAACAATATTTTATTTTATTATTACAGATGGCTGTTGAAATTTTAGAATGGGCTCACGAAGAGGCAAGATTTGTCTTGGAAGGTCGACTTTTGGTTGCTCAACCAACAGATAATAATTGGAGACGAGGTAGAACTGTCAAACTATCTCCTGTCACTGCCATGCTTGTCACAAATGGCAAGGTAAATGATTAATTTACCTAATTAATTTTCAAAATGTACAAAATCATGTACGATCAAATTTAATTTAAAAAAAATATATATATATATAAATTATTTTAGCCAACTGTTGAGTACGTAGAATTCAACGATGATTCACTTTTCCCAAGAGACATAGGTATTAAAGATGCGACATTACTTTTGGTGAAAGAAAAATTTGGTCGTTACTCTTTACTACGTGTAAGTAATTGCAATGAATGACATTAATGATTAACAATTCTAGTCACGTGTATCATCATTTTTGTAGGAACCTTTGTATCTCGATAAATGTATAGTATGTTGTGAAACTAATCTCGAGGAATATTTTGAAATACAAGAATTATCTTCCAAGGAAACATTCATATTCAAGGTAACACTAATTAATTTAAATTTATTTTCTATGTTTATTCAATAATGTTTACTAAATGTCAAATATACTATTTAATTATATTCTATTAATTTTAATTTAATTTTTTTAGGCTGAGGATGGCGCCAGAACGAAAAGATGGTGTAGAACTTTGCAAGCTCATGCACAATCTCTTGGTGCTTGGCGCAAACGTCGTGGAGCTTTACCTAATATTATGATATGTGGTGTGGCTAGAAATTAAAAAAAAAAAAAAAAGAAAGAAAAAAAATAACTTATAAATTCAATTTTAAATAAGTTGAGAATATGAATGGCAAATTACCAAACTCTATGCAAATAATTTGCAACAACTTCTATTTCTTTTCTTTTCTTTTCTTTTTTCTTCTTTAATGTTTTCCGAAAATATAAATGATAAGTTTATTAATAAATCGGAGAACTTATTTAAATGATTTCCAATGCACTTCGATATATTGTCGAAGAGCAATAAGAAAGTCTTCGTAATGTTTGATAATCGTTTCGTTAATGTTTTGTGTGTGTGTGAGTGTTTTGAATTTACAGTACGTTGCAGAAACTGAAGTTTCCAACGTAACTGTAATTAGAATAGGACGCAACGATTTTCTTCATTGATTCCTAACAAATATATATATATTATTATATATTATTATTATATATATAATCGTAAGTATATAATGCATATAATATATAATTTTTATTTTATTTTCTTTGTAATTTATCTTACGCGTATGTAAAATATACGTGTAAGATAAAACATATATATATAGGCACATATATATGAATGTATTATATGTGTGTGTATAAGACTATTTAATATTGATTAATAATTATTATACTATATTTTTATGATTATAATAATAATATATATGCGAATATATTCTTGTAACCCAAAAGAAATGAAGAGTAGCTGTGATATCAATCGGTGTATTGGGTATAATTGTTTCGTTATTATTAATTTCGGGAACCACGGTACAAAAAGGAATTTCATCCTCTTTAATAATTACATTTATCAACATTCAATCTCTGGCAATATATCGACTTTACAGGTAGTAGGGTTTTGCAAAGTTCTGAATGATGATATTGTACGAGAGTCGATTTAATGTTTTTTTTTTGCAAAAAGTGTATTACTAAATGCCTCTTGTTTTGTGTTTATTTCTTTTTTCTTCCTTTTGTTTTCTAGAATGATATAAAAATGCATTTCTCTCGACAAGTTGAATGATACTTAACAGTATTTTACTATGGCTAACACATCATTTAATTAAAAATACAAATTGTACATTGTACTATAGTTTTATTTAATTACTAAGCCATACTCGTGTATATAAGTGTATATTTATACACATACGCTCTTATCATTGAAATTTTCACAAAACTATTGTAATAAAAATTACATTTTACGATTAAATAAAATGAAACATAATATAATAAGAACCCATTTTCCAAATACAAATTTATTCTATTCTGCACATTCGCTAATGAAATTAACTTTAGTAAATTTTCTTGAAAGTATTTTATGCGATGCACGAAAATTATACAGGCTTATCTCGGGATGTTTTTCCAATAGATATTTATAAGCGGTTGATATTTTATCAAAATCTTCCACGGTTAGTTCCATCGGTCTTGTCATTGGATCTAAATCGGTCAATTTATATACCATATGAGAAAGTTCTTCTCTACAATATTCTGGAAAAAGTCTTCTACAAGGAAGAACAATAGTATTATCATCATTTTAATATTGCTTAAGTATATAAAAAAAAATGTACTAATGTATAAAACTTACCCGACACATTTAATGCTGTACTTTTGTCGAGAACTAAAAATGGTTCTTGTTACTCTTTCAAAAAAATTGAATTGGTGCATTGTACGTGGTGATTTTAATGGTTCAAATGTTACAACTCCTACATCAACATCAGGTTTAGGAAGAAAAGCTTTTCCTTTGAATAGAAATTAAAGAAATAAGAAATTAGATTATTTTTTTATAAAAGAAATAAAATTACAAATATTATATTATAATTAATTTATACCTGGAATAATTAAACGAAGATTAGGTTCTGTCCATGCTTGTGCCATTACTGATAATCTACAGCGTTGTTCTTCACATGGTCTAGCTACCAAACGTTCCGCAACTTCTCTTTGAAATGTTAATAACATTTTTGTCCTACCGTAAGACCATGGACCACTTCGTTCAGATATTTTTTTAAGCCATTCAATTATTAAAATAGTTGAAACATTAAACGGTAAATTACCAATTAAATGAATATTTGGAGCTATATCCGTCCATTCCTTTTTCTCTTCTATAGGAAACATATTGCTCATATTTATATTTCTTATATCCTCGTATATAACATCCATTTGACCATTTGAATAATTAAAAGCATCCGCTAACATATCTAATATTGGTTTAAATCTTGGATCTTTTTCAATGACTATTACCTTTCTAGGATTTTTACGCATTATAGATCTGGTTAATCCACCTGGACCAGGTCCAACTTCGAGTACATGACTTTTCGAAAGATCTCCAGCTTTCTTGATTATTTTATCGATAAGTCTTTCATCCAGTAGAAAATTTTGAGACAGATGTTTCAAAGCAGATAATTTATATAATTTGATGACATCTCTTATAGTTGGAAGAGGAGGTAATCTTAATTTCAACATTTTTCTGTACAACGTTTCTTTATAAAATGATTCTTAATAAATCAATGTTAAGTTATACATTCAAATAGTAACAATTATTTTAACAAATCAAAATAGTTGTATGCGTATAGATATACATGTATATGAATCAAAAAGCTTTATCTAAGAATGATTTATATATCAGTTTTAGGAGGTATTATTACTTTCTCAGGTTCGTTAAAATCATCTAAGAACTTTTCTTGTTTCACCGTATATATAGTATAACAATAAATTGACAAAACAGTAACTCCTAATATACTACCAAGTATTTTGTTCGATCGTTTCAGTTTCAACAATTGCTGAACTCTCTCCGAATTCTTTTTCTCTATTTCTTTCATTAGTAAAATATTATTGCTATTTATTTTATCAATATCTGTTTCCCAGTTCACTTTAGGCATCTGATCCTTGTCCATGATATGAATAGCTTAAAACAAAATATATAATACCCATTTTATTGTTGGTAGTATTATCAAATTTATATATTAATATTTTGCAAAGAAAAATGTATGAAATTATTTTCTTTCCTCCAAATTGAATAATCACTATTTACATATTATAACATAATTACATGTTACAAAACACTTATTACAGAACTATTACTACAATAAATGTAAATTTATAATTGATAAAAAAATAACAAGATGAAATTAAATTTACTATAAATGAAAGTGAGGTTAGTTTGTAACACTTATAAAAACTTACGATGAGATGTTGATTACATCAATGCTTTTTTCGATAACACAATCGAAATATTACACATTCATATAATAATATATTCTTTTTATTATATTATTTTCAATTTTAGAAATACTTATTCTACTTGGAATAAGTCTGCTGGATATTAACTGTACTATCTTAAGCACGTGTGTAATTATATACTATTCACAAGAATTATAAGGTGACCAATGTTTTTTATACTGATGATACTGTATTACCGAGACTGTACTTGGACAAACTTTCTTGTTGCTTTCAGTTAGTATTATAGATTTCTAAAATACTTTTATCAAATAATATAGAATTATATAAAACATCAGAAGTCAACATTTTGTGTAAACAACTCATCTTAGTTACCACCGGGACCACTAGTGGGCGATAGTAGGTACTTAACTCAATGACAGGTACAATACTATCAAGAAAAAGTACAATACCATCAAAGAACGCTACAGTATTACACAGAATACAGTATTCTATCTACTATCGCCAACTGGTGGTCTCGGTGTTAACTAAGATGAATTTGTTACACGAAAAGTGAACTTCTGATGATCTATATAATTTTATATTCTTTGCTTTTATTCTAAATTTTAATTTTTATGTCAGATTTCACAAGAAATTGCTAAAAAATATTACATCAACAAAAAATTTTATTATTTATTAGAATATGAAAAATTTCGAGGATCAATAGTAAAATTGTATGATCATGAATCAATTAGAATTTCAATCATTCAATTATCAATGCTACGTATATTTCCTTTGAATTAAGATGAATCGTTTCGTAGGTAATATTCAGATATTTCCGTATATGAAGAAAATTCTCATATTTCCTTGAATACCAACCGTGCTTGGTAGCTTTGGTAAATGCTTTGACGTTATCGATTGAATATTCGCATCATAGATATTTCATTCACGTACACAAACATACATACATATATGTTAATATTACTTGCATATTTATGAGTATACCCAGATGTATTTCTATGCTTGTGGAATTTTCATAAAACCATTAAGGGAAAGAAAGAAACAAAGAAAGACATAAAAAGTTAAACTTAAAGTACTAATCTTCTTTTAATCGAATATCAACGTTTAAAACTTTGTAATTAATTAAAAAAGTAGAGAGAAAAGAAAAGAACAATACATTGTTACAAAAGTTAACAAAAAAAGAAAAAGAAACACAGATAAAACAACGATCCGCACAACTCTAAGCAAATAAGTCATCGTCGGTTAAAATTTAAATTACTAAAGCGAATAACTCGCGTTAACTTTTATTACGGTGAACCAGAGTAATTAAATACATAAAGGGTGGGAACTTATAATTCTTGAATAATATTAACAAAAAAAAAAAAAGAAAATTAATTATTCTTTTACCGAACTATTTTAGCTTAATTTTATTTTTATTTTATTTTATTTTTTTTCAAATTGTTAAAACTAGGAGTCGAGAAACTTTTGACTCAACCCCATGCAACATGCGTACACATAGATATAAATATAACGAGTAATACATACACCATGAAAAGAAAGTCAAGGAACACGTATATAAAAGAGGTTCGTCGTTGGTTTGGAGTGACGTCAGTTTTGAAACTACGCAAACAGGCCTGAAATAAGTTCTCCGAATGAAACACTCCCTTATATTTACAGTATGATTTACGCAATATTCCATCATTTTTCTCTTTCTCTCTCTCTTTCTTTCTTTTCTTCTTTTTTCCTTCTATTTCTGCGTTGATTCGACGTAAAGTTCTAAAGGGTATACAATTATAAATGTATTCATTGAAACTTGCAATACTGTATTTTGTTGAATAGAACGCAGCTGTCGACAACAGTTTTCTTATGTCCTACGATAACGATGATAATTATGAAAGATGATCCTTTTCTGGAATATAAAGAAAATATAATATCTATATAGATTTTGTTTTTAGACAAAATGTCGTCCATTCGTTATATCATAGTTGTCATTGTCGTCATCATTGTCGTCATCATTGCCATTTTCTTTAACTTCGTAAATCTGTATTCCCTTATCAAACTTGTATTACAATACAGTAGCGTATTTCACAAACTATAGCTTTATTGATTTCAATTTGATTAACTTAACTACGGTTTCGAAACGAAAATGTTGTCTTCGAACTACTTTACTTCTTTCTAAGATAGAATTTCCCCTGTGTATTGAAATTACCAAATGCAATCACTTATCTCTTTTAAAAGATTTTTATTTCTTTATAAGAATTATCATTTGTTATTTTTAAATTTATTTTTTATATATTGTTTGTTAAATATAAATAATATTAATAACATAATGTTCCGGTCGTATGTCTGTTCTTAGCCATCACAAAAGAAACCGTGCCGAATAATATTATTATTAATAGATATATTAAATATATTTTAAATTATTATTATAATATAATAATAATAAAATATATTAAAAATATTTTAAATATATCAAATTACATTAATACTAAATATATTAACACATTCGCGACCGCTGACGTGAGTTCACGTCATTTTAAATTTTAAAAATTCAATAAAAATAAATTTATATATATATTATATAAATATAAATTTTATATATTAAATTTATATTTAATTATTTCATTAATATTTAAATAATTATATTTTATTTATATTATTATATTTTATTATTTAAATAAAATTTAAATAATTCATTATTGTTGCCGGTACTAAGTATTAAAAAATATGTCAGTCTCGCGAATGTGTTAATATATTTATTAAATTAATTCCGACCGCTACGACACCCATTTCCAAATATAATACGTCTGAAAAGGGTTGAACGAGTGAAAATTAAAAGAATTAAATGGGATTTATTAAAAATTCAAGTTATACAATAGCCAAAAAGAAAAAGATCACGATCATTCTTCTTTCTCGAGGCTTCCTCCGAGAAATCATGGAAGTGCCGTTGAATTTCATAGAACTGTGTGAAGAAGATATTTTTTATTTATGAGGACAGTTAAGGTCCGTAACAGTAGAATAAAGCCTCAAGCAATATCTATGATAATGTTCGATCGTGTCACACGCGATACTACGCTAAAATACGGATAAAACATAAAATGCCGTTGGGCTATATTCTTTGTTGTCCCGATGATGAAAGAATCGAAAGGACCGAAGAGTATGCATAAGAAAAAAAAATAAAAAACAAAAAAAAAAACAAGGAAAAGAAAGAAACAAAACTACAGAAGGAAACACCCCTAGTATAGGTTCGATTTCTGATAACACCGATTGCGAAAGGAATAAAAAGTTTTTTTTTTTTCTCTTATCTTCTTTTCTTACTAGATTCTACCAAAACACTTGTATATAAGTATGTGTGTATGGTGTGGGAAGAGTGAAAAAAATTAGAGAGAGTAAGAGGGAGAAACTACGAAAGCTTTATCTGCATTTTTCCCTTTTTTTTTTTATTGTCGATAACTTATCGACAGAGCTATCACATAATTCTTCTCCTTTTTTTTCGATGTTACAATTTTTAAAGCTTTTTCTTTCCTTCCTGTCTCTTTTTTTTCTCTTTCTTTCTCAATTCTTGTGCTGATAAAAAAAAAAAAAGAAAGAGAAGGAAAGTCTATATTGTTTTATTTACGAAGCTATTGCAAATCATTCTCTCTCTCTCTCGAATTTCTTCGTTTCAAAAACGAATCTGATCGTTTGTCAAAGACAGTACACGTGATATGAGATTAAGTTCGAAATCCAACATCCAGAATCATTTGGAGAATACGAGTATTTATTTTCTTCTTTCTTGACACTTCTTCCTATTTCAAAAGGATATCCATTTTCCATAGAATACCGAACAAACCGATCGAGTCTGTAATAAATTATTTGCAAGTAAATTAATCTCTCTCTTTTTTTTCTTTTTTTTTTTTAGAGAACAAAGATATATACGTAATTGTTTTTAATCTTATTAGATAGTTCGAGAAAGAAATATGTATTTTATTTTAACAACAACTCAATGTTATCTATCTCTTTCCAATACTTTGCTTTTTTTATTTTACAACTTAAAATCAAAAATTCATTTTTATCGAAAAACGAAGACAAATGATTTATAGTTAATTTCTTTTATTTCTATTTTTTTTTTTTTTTTAATAAGGTAACAAATTTCAAATCGTAAAGTTGTTCTAATTAAAAGACAAAGATGAATGTTTTAACAAGGAATACAATTTTTCTTAGTTTTTATAATTACGAAGAAACAAAATAAAAAGAAACTTGAAAGTATTCGTAATTGGCCATTGATATTCTCTTTCGTGGATAAATTTACGTCGATTATTATTATCATTATTATTATTATTATTATTACATCAGTGAAGCAGAAACGTTGGGAATGATTTGCGCGAGTAATACGTCGCAATCGTTAGAAAGTGTGCTCCATGAATTATTAATAAATTGCAACGGGACTCTCTCAAGCATAAGGTAATCCCCGAGCTTTACAAAAAGCCTTGACGGTCTTTTCGTTCTTGAGAAAACACGATAATGGCCGAAAAGAATCGTTCGAACTTCGAGATAAATAATTCTTTCAATTCTTTTTTTTTTTCATTCTTTCTTTCTTTCTTTTCTTTTATAAATTTGGATATCATTTTATTCATCGTTTCACATTTGTTAAAATGTAATTATTAAATTTTGTAAAATATGTCAAAAAGATTGATTGATTTTTATTTTTTATTTTTTTTTAATTTTATGATACGAGAATATTTTAATTGAAATATCAAAACTTATTCGTCTGTGATAAATTACAGAAAAAAATAAAAAAATTATTGTAAATTATATGCTATGATTCGATTTTATTATTATAAAACGAAACGTTTTATTCGTTTCATCGAATGAATGAAAAAATATTCTAACAAACGTCATGTGGCAATTATAAATTTGTTTTCTATTTAGAGATTAACGATCCATCATTCGGCTTTTCAACCTACGACCACGTGGGACTAGAATGTATTTCTTGGAGTTAGGAAATTCTGTGTTAACGAGCGTAATCCGTTCTTTTGACATGAGCAACATAGAACAAGATGACGTATAATAGTTTCGATCGATTATGCGACTAGGAGACTTTTAAAGTGATTTTACAAAAAAAAAAATATTATGATTTATGTCTATTTAACAAAATGATCGTAAAATTCTCATTGATCAATTATTATTAAATCATGTTTCATATAATTGTAAATACTTTTTACAT